CCCAGCTGGTGACTTGTCGGGGTCTTCAGCAGGTCAAGTGTGATGTGTTCCAGCTCTATACCACATTCCTTCATGTTTCAAGAGAAATAGAGTTGGCTGCCCTTGCCTGGGTAACTGGATTGGGCTCCTCATCTCTGCTGAGATTTCTCCCTTTGTTCTAGGGTGGGGTTGAATCCAAAATGTAGTTTCTAAGCATCAGTACAACAGGGAAACACAAAGTTAAAGCAAAAGTCCTTCTCATATTTTCAAAGGCAAAGCTCACGGGTGAGTCATGTCTGTATTTAGTCACAGCAAGGCAGATGAGCAAAAATCATTGGGAGTCACAGTGCCCTCATATCAACTCCCATGCCATGCTGGTGTTTGCAGTCTTCCAGATGTACCTGCCTTGGTGTCCATGGTGCAGCAGATCACAGGGATGTGTACAGCCTGTTCCTCTAAAACTGGTAGCTTTGCATCATGGGCATGCTGTACATGGCCTTTCTGAAGTGGTGAAATGCCTGAAGGCAATCAAAACCCTGAAGACCCAGCCCCATGTTAAAGACAGAGTGCAGTCTGGCTGATGTAGCTTTTTGGAGGCTGCCCACACCATCTGTGTGTGTGTTCTCACATGTGTATGAGGTGAGGTGAGGGAGGGGAAGAGAAGGAGCCAGGATTTGAGTCTTGTAGATGAGTCACTTTGAGGGTAAACATGGCAATCGACAGCCTTTTCCCTTCTTCTTAAGTAAAGAAATTACCCTAGAATGATGTTGAGGTGCTGGGGAAAATGTACCCTCCCTCCCTACTCCCTGCTGCTAACTCACCAGCTGGACATGATCTTGCTATAAATATTTAGAGTGGCATTAAAAACCAAAGGAAAATTTTTTCTCTCCTTGTCCAGGGAACATTAGCTACCCAAACAAAACGCCCTCTCGCTTTCTTTCTTGTACTGTATGCATATGCTCTTGTTGCAGTCCATTCTGATGATTGATGTAGCTTTATATCTCTCTTCTGGCTCCTTGTTGCCTGCTTAGTTCTGCCTCTTCCTGGCAGTGGCTGTGGATTACTCTCTTAACCCTTAAAGAAAGAAAAGATGCTATCTGACTTTATTAATGACACAGGTTTATGGGGTTGGGGAAGGCTAGGTAGGATGTTCTTGTGCTTCAGACACTGATAAATGTGGCATTTATTTAGAAGATCCCAGGCTCGATGGCTTTGCACAGTTACGTAAATTCCTGCTAGCCCAGAGTACAGAGTGTGCTGCTTAAATAGCTTATTGCTTTGGGGAGGGTGGTGTTGCTCCTTGCTGAATCCCCACACAGGTCCCTGCCAATTTAGAGCCAGGGCAGCTGAGCAATGAAGCTCCGGCTGCTTGCCTTACAGCTCTCTTCATATTTTTTCCCAGAGATTATGGCTTCAGACACATCTACAACAAAGTGGGCACATCAGCACTGCTTAGTTAGGATTTTCTTTATAAATAGACTAGAAATCACTTTTCATGCCAAGGACAATATGTCCTATATGGCCCCCACTCTATGGGGGATGGGGGGAGGGAAGGGGAGGTGAGGCATGCGCCCTGCTGAGAGGGTAGAACTGTTTCTGCTGGGGGACACTCTAAATTGTCAGATAAAATCTGTTTCTAAATTATTTCTTGAGGAAAGTTTTCTAGGAATGTATGGTATTGACTGAACCAGACCTGAGTGGTCTTTCTTTTAGGAAGACAAAATTACCATGAGAATGAGATCTTGCACAGATAATGGTCTTGTCTGAACAGAAATGGGAAAATGGCCTCATTTACAGGGTATGTGACCCAGCAGCACCTTGAGTTGTGATGCTGCAGGTGCCCCATAGCCCCTGGTGGGCTGGAGCTACCAGGGGCTATTAAAAACTGTGACCCTCTATAATTGCTGCTGTACAAGCTCCATCCGTGGCCAATTTCTAGAAAATAGAAGCATCTACCAAACAACAAACACGTTGTTGTAATGCTGTATACTCATTCTGCTACTTCTGCTCTTTCTCTTTAAGTGTTTAAGAGGCATCATTCAGTTTTGGAATTATGGTGATTGAACCTTTGATCTGACCCAGAGAAGCTCTTCTTGAGTTTTAATGGGATGATGAAATGTCATGCACTAAGCAACAGAGCGGAAAAAAAGCTGTAATCTGACCAGCCAGCAGACAGGTGCACAGAGATTGGTGATGTCAGACAACTTCTAAAACTCATATACTGATCCTATTACAACTCAGGTGAAAATGAACAAATATGGATAAAGAAAAAGGAATGCTCAAGACAGAGACTTCACTGAGCTCATTCAGTATTATGTGCACTGTCATGTGGTCTCAGTGACCACCAGCCCTCACAGTAATCAAGAGACAGATCATACCTTTACCCAAATTTTCAGTCTAAATTGACAGGGGTCAAGAAAAAATATTCCTTATTATGGTCTTAATAAAACTGGGAGAGGGAACAAAACCCAGGATTAACATTTCTCATTGTATAAAGAGACAATTACGGGGATCATAATTAATCAGATGCCATGGAGAGGATGGGAAGATGACTCGGGCACCAGTGGTGGCTGGTTGGGGTGACAGATCAGCCTAGGCTGGGAGAATATTAGCTTGCTCAGGGACTTGTTCAGATGAACTTTTGAAATCTTGAAGGATTCAGATTTCACAACCTCTCTGGACAACCTGCTTCCATATGTCCAATCAGAATTTCTTGTTTTGCAATTTATGCATGCTGTCTCTTGCCCACAGAAAAATCTGCTAACTTTCTTCTGCCGCTGCTACTTGCCAGCTATCTGATCTCTCCCTATTCTTTTAAGTCCAGATATCCTTATGGTCTTTCTCTCTCATTCTTCTGTAACTATTATGTTATTAATTTTCTATTTAGCTCCTCAGGAAAGATGTTTTCCCTGAGTTCTATTGCCACAGCTGCCATTCACATGGATAGAATACTTAATGCTGAACTAAGGCTTATTTTAAGCATCTGGGCTTGGTTATGATTTTGTAGGCAAGGGCAACAGGCTACATCTATAGATACCGGTCTTGAACCCCTGACCTAAACTTATAGAGGCATGGTGACAAATTTTATAGCATTGGAGTCACAGAGAAACATCCCAAGAGTCACTGTTTGCATTGTGTACAGATAGAGAGATACAGCATGTAATTCAATAATGACTTTGGCCCAGTATACGTGGGTGTGAAGATATGTGGGCTTCTGGCTTGGTTTTAGGCCAATCTCTAATTAAAGAGTGAAAGATTAAGATGAAAGCAATTGCACTCTTCTTTAGTCAGAATGACCTACTAGCGTTAATTAAAACACTCTTCAGGCAAAAATAAATTTGGCCGCCAAAGTTCTGTGCTTCACATTAAATAAGGATGTAGCTGGTTTACAGGGTGCTGAGCTTCTAGAGGTTTCACAGAAACCACTCATACAGCTTTGGGCACTTTTGCTGGAATATTTTAAAACAAGTCCTTTGCCTAAACCAGCTACTTCATGTGTATTTCAGACACTCACTGGCTTTTTCTTCGAACTACATCATTTGAGAATGGGTATCTTATCTTGGTGTACAGCATACAGTGTGCTGGAGGATAAAGTATCACCCTATCATTGGACACCAAAGTATCTTCATCCATCCTTTCTATAGTCTCTGGTTACAGACCCATGGCAACAGTAACAAGAAGATACTTAGATCCTATATTGCTCTGTTCTTGCTGAGTCTGAACACTAAAATGCCTATGAAAAAAGGCATTCAAGTATTCAGGATCTGCCCCTGCTATTTTTAGGTACTAGAAATGTTCCCAAAGAAGGATCAGGCCTTTAAAATGCCATAACATCCTATTACACCTGTGTGAGCCACCAATCATTGTTCTTAAAAGCTACACATCTTTCCCATCTTTCATTTGTACTGCTCCATCTTACAACTAAATGGCCAGGTGTTACTACTGTGACATTGATCCAAGAGGGAACCAGGTCCAGTGCTTCAGAAATACTGTTTTCAATGGGAATATGATACCATCAATCATCACACCTCAGAGGGCCTGAAAGACCCTTCATCATGAAGATTGGTGGTGCATTTAAGAGACAGAAGGCGCCAAAGAGAAACACTCATGAACCCATCTCCTTGTCCTAAATTCTTCACTCTCCTCTTCTTAGTTGTCAGGTTCTCTTATATTATTTTTTATCTACATCTTCTCTCATATGATTATCAGATCTTAGGGTAATTCAGGGAGGAAGGGAACTCCAGTGGTCTCTAATTGAAGCTCCTGCTCAAAGCAGGGTGAGCCATGAGATCAGACCAGGAAATATCCCAGGATGAAGACCATGCATCTGTCCAGAGGCCCATGTCTTCCCCTTAGGGAACAGCATTTCCTGCCTGACATCTACCTCATGAAAGATCCTCCTCTTGCCCTGTGATGCTCCTGTACCATATGCCAGGATGTGGTGCTGGTGGGGACTGCAAGTCTTTCCTTCATGGGATAATTTAGGAGGTGACTGCTGAGAGAACAACTCACAGATAGGGAAATCACTCTAGTCTTCCTTGTTGACAGCAGGACTTTAATCAAGACCTGACTTAAATCATTAATTCACAGCCCTCCGGTTGTTTAAAGAGCTGTGATAATGAGCTGAGAAGAAAATACTATCCATTTTCTCTTGGCAGGACTGTAATGGCATGACATGACATTCATTGAATTTAGGAAAGAGCAGGGATAGTCTTCAGAATGACAGAAAGACAGAAAATCTACCCAGAAAAAACAATGACAGAAGATTCCTCCACATATGCAAACACAAAGAGGTCCATTTATATCTAGTTTTTCCAACATGTCTTTATTGCTTAAGGGTATTTGGCAAGACAGCCATAACATAAACTTCATGTCCAACATTACTTGGCAACATATTTCCCAGCTGGAAAGAAAATAAATTGGATTTTTTTCTTTGTGCTAATGCCACATTTTTTGGATGTTTTTTTGGAAATTAATCAAGAGATGGCTGCTCAGCATGCCTCTTCATTCTTGATGGGCTTTTAGTGCAAAATTGCCAGCAGCAATTGTCTGAAGTCCCCAGAGGTGTCAGATCGGACAGCTTCAGCTAACGGCTTCTTGTACATTTGCTGGAACTTCTCCTTTATTGCTGGCAGGTCACTCTGAGGAGACATCAAGAGCTTCTTTAGAAGAGTGGTGAATGCTTTGAGTAACATGCCCTGTTCCTGCCAGCACCCCTGGGGTCTGATTCAAGGCACACCACACCAAGTGGGAGTAGGAGAGGAGAACGCAGGAGGTTTAAAAAATTTGGAGGACTTTCAGTTTAACATTTGAATTTGAGGTAATCCCATGTCAGATAGTGGTGAGAGGATGCTAACTGTGAAGAGGGCCTGCAAGGAAAGTTATGCCAAGGCTGGGAGAATCTCTGCCCAGCAATGCTGTGCCAGCACAGCCTTGGTACTGGAAAAACTCACACAGGTTGCTGTGAACTCTGAGGTCATCCCCTGGTGGCAAACAGGGAAAGAGGCATGTCCCAGGAGTATGGCTAAAAAAGGGTGTTGTTCCACCTACAGAAGTAATTTTCTGGTTACTGGTGGAGGAGAAACAAAATCCTTGTCTTGAGCTGTCCTGTAAAACTGCACCTAAAGCACAGGTCTGATCTTTATCACTGTGGGTTTTAAATGTTATAATGACTGGACTGTGTCTTAATAGAGAGAATACCCTGGAGCGTAATTTTTTTCACTGTGGATCATTGAGAAATATGCTTTCTTCATGCCTGTGAAAGGCTCCTCCTCTGTGTCGATTGAAACAGCCCTGGGGTTATAACCTACACAACTTACAAGGAATACTTAAAGACTGTGCTTAAATATCTCAACTGTCTTGTGAAGTTTTGTGCTTTTTAAAATGACAGTTAAGTCCTTTGGCTTTTTATTTCTCTTTCCTTGTCCCCATCTGTTTTTCCCAGCTGGAATCAGAGAAAATTGGCAACATATGTTTATAAGCAATTCTCAAATTGGAAACTGCTGCTTTATCATTAATTAACTAAGAATTACTTATACACATCCTACTGGGGCCAGACCTCCCCATGGGTTAGTTTTAACCAGGTACAGTTGATTCCACTTGAAATTGCCTACATGCTTCCTGGTTTAGTTCCTTTGAAAACAGAAATAGATACAATATCAAAATTAGAGGTGCCTGGGTACAGAAGCAGAGTGTGACCACTGATGTCACTGGGCTGAAAAGGGTTTGCAGAGCACATGATCTATCAGGACTCACTCCATACCCTCTAGATTTGTATTCTCTCAGAGCTGATGTGGAGCATTACAGAACACAGGGTACCCTACCTCAGCCCTTGTCACAAGGATGCGAATCAAGGTCTCTTCATCAGTCCCAGCTCCTTTCATCGACTTGTGCAAAAGTGTGGCAAAGTAACCTGGGCAATCTTTGGCACAACTGACTATAGAAAACAGTAAGAGTAAGAGGCCTGGTTATATTTGTACATTTACAGTTTGTGATACAACTTCAAGCAGAATTAAATAAGTAAGAAAGAAAAGGAAACTCTGGTGTTTATACTTAGATGTATGAGCTGGCAGGGCTTTTAATTTGAGACTGATCTCCTATCAGTATGCAAGAAGAAATGTCCATTTTCCCACAAGAGATTACCAGCACTGAGTACTCAGCCATTCCACAGTGAAAATGACATGAATAAGAATGAGCATTTACTCCCACGGGGTTCCTCTTGCCCATCTATTCTTGGGGTAGCTGCTCACTCTGCAGATCACAGCAGGAAGATCTGTGAGAGCTTAAATCCAGGTGGGTAACAGCAATATCAGTGGGCTAACTGGAGACAGGGTACAGGTTTAAATACTGGTCAAAGCCAACCCTAGTACTAAATGGCTGTCAAGGACCCTGTACATTTTTGTGGTGGCTGGCTAGCACACTTCTCATGGTGCCCAAGCATCTGCTGGAATTTATCACCAGCCGTGGTCTCAGGGGCAGCTTGGAGGTGGCTACCCTGTGTTAGATAGCAAAAAAAATCAGCTTTTCCTGTGGAAAGGAGCTATGTCTGGTAAGTTTCAGTTTTAAAACCAAGGAGTCCTACTCACTACTGGAAACTGTCTCTTTTTTCCCTGGCAGATATGTTAGCTCAGTTTAGGGGTAGCAGAATGGCTGTTGCCAGGCTGCACACAGACCCCCAACAATCAATGTCAGGTGACAGGAAGAACTAGAAAAGAAAGGTCTTGAAACTATTGCTTTTTACCTAGAGTCAGATAAGCCTTCTCCAGATCTCCAGATGTTTCACTTTTAATGGACTCTTCTATGTCCTTCCCACATACCTATGAGAACAAAATGGAGCCATAAGAGCTTCTGTCTGCACATGTCTTCTTCCTACTGTCCGAACCAGCATCAGATTTGGGATCCAGTGGCAAAAGGTCAATCCAGATCCTTTAGAACCTTTCAAAAAGAGTAATTTGAGGGTAAATGAAGTTCTCTTGTATAAGTGCTCATAGAGTCACTGGCACCAAGAGAAGGTCTATGCAGCCAGGTAAGGCACAATGGTTAAGTGATGGATAATCTACATTATGCACTCCCGGGTACCTGATGGCTTCTAGGACAAAGAAGCTGCAGCTTCTTCTTGAGTGACCTCTGGTCAGCAGAAACTGTTCGAGCTTTCTTTAGCCCCTCTATTAAAGGATTTGGATGATTCCCACATAAATAAGGTAATTTTTGGAGCTTTATCAACTCTGTGAAGTTCTGTTACTTATTGTCTTTGGCTTCCCAGGCAAAGTTTACAAGCACTGTGGTTGTCCCAAAGTTTTTGTATTATTCTGTAGGGAACTGGAGAAGCAGACTGTCTCTTCAAAACAGAGTTTATCCTGACCTTTGTGAACTTCAGGAACGTCAAAGACTTTTACTTTTCTCTACTTTGTATAGCAGGATGTCCCTGCACAATTCAAGACTCTGACTTTTAGGTCAGAGATGGGAGACTGTGTACAAGGCAGCAAGGGCACCACATGAGGCTTTTGGGCATAAGTTCTGTAAAGCACCAATCTGGTTTAGATCTTGCCCTGTGTATCTCTTCAGCTGAAGAGAAGGGCATGTTTGCAAGATTTGGGCTCTGATCTTGGCCTACTTCTACTTCGAGTGCAGCCAGGCAGGATGTGGTGGGTTGGTTTGGGCAACCTGATCTGCTTGGCTTTAGGAATCAAAAGCCAAGGTAGCTTGGCTATAGGAGCACTGAACTGAACCCCCAGGGTTTGGACCACTCCAAGGGAGAGAGTATCAGTTTGTGACTGGGTTTGTTCTCCTGCCAGCAGCAGCCCAAACCTTGGATTAAGCTGCAAACATTTTTGTAGCTATTGGTTCCTTATTATGCTGACATTGAAATATGGCTTTGACTTGAGCTCTTTTCATCTTCAGTGCCTAAGACTACAGTTTTCTGATGAACTCAGAGTCTTCCCAGGGAAGTTCAGGACTGAGAGCCAGTGGCTGGAGGGAGACTCTTTCCTGAGATGCCACTGCTGAGCTTCCACCTTGCTGCTAGGAGGACCTTGGAACTCCCATTGCTTTGACTTTCAGAGGTAATTTCCAAGCAAGATATCTCCATATCAGGTCAGGTTCAGGCCCAGGCATGAGTAAAATGTCCCTGCTGGGTGACACAGGGAGAAGTACTAAATAGCCAGGATCCTGCTGCCTACTTTGCCTTGTGCCTGGAGACAGTAGAAAGCACAGCAGAGCACCTGCACAGCCATCTGTCCAGTGTGGGCAGAGAGGAAAAGGCTGGAGATAAACTTCTCCTCAGCCAGTATGAGTGTGTGAAGTGGTGGGAACAGGGGGAGACACCTTGCCAGGCTCTGTTTAGGAGAAGAAGAAAAGACCAGAAAAGTAAATCCTTCCTTCAGGGCAGGAGTTTGTGAACCTGTTCCTCCAGGAGGAGGTTCACTGCCTTGCATCTGTGGGAAGGAACAGACATTGTGACATTTATTTGGCTGAGTATTGTGTAGGTTATGAAGGGGAACGGGATCTTCACTGGCAGAAGATACAGCTTCTCCTGTAAATCACCTATGTCTGTATGCTCAGGATACAGTTGTATAAATATGTTTTCCAAGTTTCTTAAAGCATTCAAGAAGTTATAAATGGCAGAGAAAGGATTGTCCACTCTACATAGAATAATTTAGGTTGGAAAAATCTCTTCTGATCATTACATGTTGTTGTAGGGTCTGCACCTTTATGTCAGGGCCTATGCAACCTACATTGCAAAAAATAAACTCACCTTTTCATAGGCTTGAAATGTAGCTCTCAGCTGGCTATAGCTTCTCTTTGCTAGAACCACATTGAAAGCCAGCTCCTCTGTTCCCCAACGGCCTTCTCCTGCCTTCAAAATCACATGTCATTTTAGGGAAGCATTTGTTCATACACAGTATGAGTGAGGTCAGCCAGAGCCCTTGGCCCATCCAGCTCCAGCCCGTGCTCGTCTCCTTGCTGTCATCATCCCCGTGCTTGGTTTGCTTAGTCCCCCTGAGGCAGCCCTTGCTGCACCGCACAGGGGAAAAGGGAATTTTGCACAACTGCACTTACTTTATACAGATCTGAGGCGTCTTGCTCAGCAAGCTCTGCATTGACCTGTTGGGTCTCGTCTCGGGCTGCCTGCCGAAAAGGAGAGAACGGTGAGAAGCACCCACCGAGCGCAGGTATTCGGGCTGGGGCGCTGCTGCCATCTGCTGCCACGAGCCCGGCTGAGCCCTCGGGCCAGGCTGGTCCCCGGCTCCGCGCTGGGCCCTGGCGAGGTCGCAGCGCGGATGCTCCGGGGCAGGAAGGTGCCTGGTGCCTGCGGTGAGGCGCTGATGGTTTTGTTCTTCACAGGGCCGGATAGGCCCTGGTAACTGTGACACGCTTTCCTAACCTGTGTGCTCTGAGCATTCACCAACACGGACATCACCGCGACAAATTATCAGTGAAAAAAAGGAAAAGGCAATAATGTATTTGCCACTCCTGAAAGTCTACAGGAGGTTGCGAAGAGCTGTACCAATGCTTTCCAGAATGAGAATCTAAACTGATGTAGTCAGTGATGTGACTTTTACGTCATTAAAGCTTCTTTTATCTATTCAGTCTTTTCATTTCCCAGGGCTGTCAGATCAGATGACCAACACATTGCATTTCTTGATGTGCTCCCTTTTTCTTAGTTATAATGTGTCTTTATGAAGGTGTTGATTTTTTGCTTTATATTATGAAAGGGGTTACAAATAAAATGTGTTCTAATGGAAAATAAGATTTTTGATGAATGAAAAACTAACATAACAGCAATTTCTTTCTTAGTTGTTCTGTATCTAAATTCTAAATACCTTAGCTGAGATGCAAATAAGATTTAGTGGTTTGGGGAAAATTCAGAATAATGGGCCATGACCTTGAATGAATATTCCAGCCTTTACCATGGTATGAATAACAGTAAAACAATAATTTTATTTTCAAAGGATCTATTTATAAAATTATCTGTGGTTTCATAAAAAAAAAAAAAACATATTAAAAAGCCATAGATATGAAAGGCTCTTATATTGAAGAATGCCTTTTGTTTACTGTAATTGCCTCATTATTTTATTACATATCATTACTGCATTATTATAGATACCAGACAACACTTATTATTATTATTCATGGAAAAAAGGAAATATCTCTGTCAGACAGGAAAGTCCCCAGCCTTACCTCTAGCACCATGACTAATATCTTCCGTAGGGAGCCACTGGTTTCACTTTTAACATCAGACTCTAGATCCTTATCAAACACTGGGAAGAAAAAAAAATCTGTGAGAGTTCAACCAGTAAGAAAGGATTGAAATGAAGAGATTTGAAAGATAAAACTACTTACTACGTTTGTAGGCCTCCTTTATGTTTACAATTTCCTAGGAAAACAAAACAAACCAACCAACTAACCAACCAAACAAAATATGTCTTATTAATTAATAAATAAATGAGCAAACAAAACACCAACAAGTCAGCACCATGCCTGTAGTATGTGAGGTGCAGCAACCATGGGAGTGGGAGAACCCATTATGTGCTCCCAGTCCCCATTGAGGACAGTGCTTTGAGGGGTACCTGATCCATGCAGGTGTCCCTCTGGTTTTCCCTGCATTTAGGCAAGAGATAACTTTTTTTTTTTTTTTTTTCACAAGGATCATGTTCCTGTACCTCTGAACCATCAGAGCAGTGTCAAAGCTGCCCTTTAACATGTATCCAGGGATTCTTCTCACCAGTGTTGCCTCTGTGCCATCCAAGGCAGGTAGGAGTAGGATAAAGGAAGGAATGTGAATTTTATTGGTCTTAACTCCTGTTAGTTTCAGCTCTAGTATGGCAATCTTACTGCTGCAAACACTGGCAAGAAGAATTTCAGCCACAGAAGCTGGACTGATCCCTGTTCCTCCTCACAGGGATCCTCTGGGTGAGCTGCCCTGCTGCCCAAGGAAGGTCACACGTGGTGGCCCAACCTTATTGTTCCGTGTGCAGAGAATCTCAATCAGCAGCGACTCATCTGTCCCAGCGCCCTTCATCGCCTTCCGAAGCTCTCGGGCCTCGTACTCGCAGGGCAAGTCCAGCAAAGCCAGCACAGCCTTTCCAAAATTCCCACTCAGGTCTCCTTTCAGGTCCTCTTCCATCTCCTGTGGGGACAGTCAGCAGGGTTAGTGCAAAAGCTGAGGTGAAGTTAGAGGATTTCTTAATTTGTTTCAGGAAATCTAATGATTTAAAAGCTTCTTCTGTACCAAAAAGTGACTAAACCATTTTTAAAAGGCCTTAAAATACACAGACTTTATTTTTACAATATAAGTTCCCTAAAAATTTAGGCTTCGGATTGACTGAAATGATTGTCCCATCTTCAAATACCAGCCAATATCAGTCTAGTTATGACTCTTGTGTAAACAAATGCAAACTAGTGTTTTGAAAAGCTTAACAGAAATTTACTCTGAAACAAAATGCAGAAGCTTCCTCCTTTGAAAGAGCTGCCACACGGATCAAAGAACCTTCTCTGTCAGTTTTGATTAAAACTGACTTCCTGGAAAAAGCAGCAGATTTCTGCAAGGTGCTTTTGTGCCGAGCAAACAGCATTTTTATACACATACACCTGCATCAACCTTAAATCAAAATTCAGTAAGACCCTAGAGGAGAGCTGGCTAGAGCATGCCAAGGATGCCAGCTGAGGATGTATTTGAACTCCTGTCTGCAGCAGACATTTCCTGCAGAATGGGAAGCACTTGACAAGGTCAGAGCACTGGATGAGAAGTCCAGCTCTAAGTCTCTTATTCTCAAGTTCCTGCTTGCACAACCGCACGTGAACACGCGACTGCTCAGGTCAGAGGCTGCCATCTGTGTTGCAGCAGTTTCAACACACACACCACAAATGCTGCAAGTTCCTGGAGCAGCAGGAGGGAGATGGTACCACTTGTGCCTCCTTCCCAAGAGATACAGGCTGCCCAGGAAAGTGAGAAGGGTTGCTATGAGCTATGAGCTGATGTCACTGTGATATTCCTCTCATTATAGAACAAAATTGATAGTTTTAATGTAACCAAAATCTATATCACGCTTGCTGTAAATTTCATATATAGAAGGCTTTCGTTCATCTTCAATGCTGACTGTCTTATTGACACTGATTAATAAGCAAGCAGAAACCAATTTAATAATAAGGTCTGGAGGATCCAGCTGTTTACTGAAATAATATTTTAGAAGCTTTATTTTTTTACATAGAAAATCATTAAGGCAGTTTATGCCTCCTGCAGAAATCAAGTGCTCAATGAAACTTTTTAGTTTTGCAACATGTTCTACTTCATCACTGGAAGAAATCAATATTACTTCTATTAAACTCAATAAAATATAGTGTGTGAGATCAAATAGTTTGTCTGAATTTGCATCTGGTCTAAGTGGGACTTTGACTTAAAATTTCCCTTTTACATTAACTTCTTTTTCTGAATGTGCTGAAGATGAGCACAAGCTGAAATATTTTCTATTTCAGTTACAAATTATTTTCTAGCTCTCCCAGCTTTGATTAAAATGTTCTGATCTGGTTAAGGCTGACTTCAAGAAGATTCTGAGGCCTAAAATTAGAAATATAATCAGTATTTTAGGAGATAAAATAAATTGCTGAATCAGAAAGCAACTGGTGTCCTCCTTAAATGCAGTATGCCCTTGATATTTTCAAAACCAGAGGTCTGTAGGCTGTATTTTCAGTGACAGTGGTTTCAAACAGAGAGGCCACTTATTTCAAGATACCTTGCTATACAAATCCTTGTACTTCTGTTTTATTTGTTGTCTCTGCTCTGATGTTCTACTTGATAAGACTTCAATAATTTTTTTTTCATTGGTTCCTGAAAAAGAAGTTGTACATAGGGATTTTATAATCCAGAATCTAATGCAGAGGAAAGAAAATGTGACATCTAAAGACAAAAAAAAAAAAAATCCTGTACATATATCCCCAATGGTTCCACCTTAGGATTTGTAGCATCTAAGATTCTTTTGAGGATAATTTTAACTGTATTCAGCTACAATGTTCAGACCATAAAATAAAATGTCACCATCTCATGCTGTTCATACCAAAGAAATTGAGTCTTCTGTTTGAGAAGGACAGAAACTGCTCCTAAAATCAGGGTTATGGCAGTGCCCATAGGCTGACATATATGTTTTGTTAAGTAGTCCCAAGTGATCAGACACCAGATCCAGTTTGTTCTGGGCATGAATGCTGTGCTGGCACAACAGAGTGAGGGCAGCAGGTCAAGAGGCTGGTGCAGGCGAGGATGTGTTTGAATCAGCTCATTAACCTGAAAGTTGCATGTACAACCTGTAAAAAATTGGTTTTAATTTTGCTAAATAAAGTCAGGAAAAAGGATCTGGAACCAGCCTGGATGGTCTCAGTCTCTGCCAATGCTGTTTTGCTTGGCAAAAATCAGAGAGAAGTGGGAATGTGGGATGCCCAAAGAGAAGCAGCTGCTGTGCTGCCCATCACAGAGGGGAGCTGAACACTCTGCCCCTCTCCAGGGGAAAAGCCCTCAGTCAGCTTTGGACTCTAACTTATGGAATGGATTGCAGAAGCTTCCTAAAGGCAGTGACCTTGCTCTTGCACTCTGTTTCCCTCTGCCATATAAACAGATGTTTCCACACAAACAGATGTTTGCACCAAACAGAGCTGCTGGAAGGCATTTGTTACAGCTAAGAGGAGACAGGAGCACAGTGAGCACAGTGATGTAAGCTGGATGTACGGAGGACACAATAGGGCAGGTGTCCCGGCACAGGTGTCCCGTGCACTTCCATCTGAGGGCCAGCAGATGGACTCAGGAATTGTTCATGACAAGCGTTGGGGTTGGGAACGTGAGGCAGGACAGACTCATCACCCGGCACTGCCCTAATGCCCACAGGATGGCAGAACAAAGGCATCAAGACATCTGCCAGGTCTGCTGGTGCCCGCACATCCTGCTGGTGGTCACTGCCCACCACTGTCCTTGAGCTCTGCCATCTGATGCCTTTGTGTGGCTGTGTCTTGGCTTTGTGCTGTGCCTCATCTCAGGGAGCAGCAACCAACAAGGGTTTCTGAGTAGCAAGCAGCACAAAGGATAAAGATACAAATTATACTGGTATTCAGCAACAGCTGATACGTTTTCATCCCTCTATTGCTACCAGGTACACAGAGGACAACCTTAGGGCATCTTGTCCAGTTCTTCCTGCTTAGATCCAAGGCAGAAGGCATGGTTCAATTTTAGAAGGAATTATACTCCTGTTTGATAACTTTGGGTTAAACTCTCAGTTAGGAGAGTCCTCTGTCAACTGTCTTGAGAGGGCTCAGTTGGTATGACAGGAACAGTTCCTAAAATTCAATATTTAACTAGCTGATTCTGAATGTCATTGCTATACCAGGAAGAAATGCTTAAATACATATTAACTGTGAAAATAACTAGAGTGAATCAATAACTTATTGATCTTGTGTGCTGCCTGGATGTTCTTCCTTTACTGAACATTGTCACCTCCGTGGACCTTAGGATCCCATGAAATACTATGCATTCCTCACATCAGTGCAGTCAGGCAGCTTACTTCAAACCACCTCAGAAGATGGTAAGGGACAGTTATTTTCAGTTAAAAATCACTGGTGAATGTTGAAATCACTGTAAATTCCTTTCTGCTGATGGAGCTGCAGTGGGCTATGATGAAATATGGAGGTGATGATGTTCTTTACTGGTCCCTGGAGGCCTGAGAAAGGATATATAACCATGACCTTAATCTAACCTGACTAGCTGGACTTCATGACTGTCAAATTAGTCTTGGCAGCTTGATGTCTCTGTCAGAGGGAACAAATACCATGTTTACCCTAATGCTCTGGAGACATGCAATTATCAAGCTAGCTCTTACCAGTCTTTGAGGAACAAGGTGGCTTCCCTTCCCATTTATCTTCCTGGGTGTGAATGTTCTTTGAGTCAGTATTTGACAGAAAGCATAAAGACTACCTAAAACTGGTTGGAACAGTTGGTTTGCCTAAGTTCATGTGTAGGCTTTTTTTATAATATTGATCTGCCCTTTGCAGAAAGTCCAAAAATCTACAAAGTCTTTCTTACCTGCTCCTTTGCAGGCACTGTGTATTTTCTTGGCATCTCTCTCTGCATCAAAGCCATGATGGTGGCTCTTGTGGGTTGACTGGGAAGACAGAGACACAACAGACACACGGGAAACAGTTTTGCATTAGAATGGCAGCAGTTTGGGCCAGGTCCTTGCTTGCTCTTTGTTCACACCACCTAAACCTTGAAGTTCAGGCTGGGCTTTGCTGAAATACTGTATCTATCCCAAGGGTTCCTGGGATGTATCCACAAATTGCTGTCACCACATAAAAACCACAGTGGTCTATACAATTTTGTGACCACATATATATATTTGTATATGTGTTACCCTGCATAACATGTCACCATATGACATACATGACCTATATAACTTTGTTCTACCATTTCTGGCTTATTAAAAGAATTTAAGGATAATAACTTCATACTAGACTTCATACTAGACTATGACATCTATGAAGATGTCATACTAGACATCTTCATGCCAGATCAAATATCGTTAGTTTCTACCACTTTAACAACAGTCCAATACAAACACCTTAGCAGAAGCAGGACCTATCTCTGAGTACATTTTTAAGTACTGTGAACACTCCCAATCATCTGGATAAAAACTGCTGCTGAAAACTTTTCTTGTATTGATGCATTCATGCAAACTAGATAATTGGAGATACATAATGTGATAAAGCTGGGGTTCTTTGTTGTTGCTGAGGAGGTTTTTTTGCCTTTTAATTTTTTTTTTTTTTTTTTTTTGGGGGGGGGCGGGGCAAAATAATACATGTGGCTACCTCAAGCTAAATTTACAGGGACAGGATAATAACTCAAAGTCCACAGCCACTGCAGCAGTTTACAGCCTGACATATCAATGTAAACAGAAAACCATGTCTGCTCCTTCTGATCTTAGTTAGCTGCTAATCTCTCAAGCTGTGAGCCACGGGGGCTGCAATGCTGGTACACCTTTTATTCTGCTGTTTCTTAGGAAAGGGTAGAATTATCTGAGACCACAATGACAGCAACAATTTCAGCTCCTCTAACATGATTACTCAAATATTTTACATGTTCAAGCTCTAAAATAGTAGTAGAAAATAGGTTCTGTGCTCCTAAGTCAAGAAGCACAAGCCAATCTGCACACCACAGACTCGGGGACTAAGTGGGCACTGGCAGTGCTTTGGCATTTCATTTAAATAGCAACATGTGGATCAGGCTGCTCGCTTTGCAGGGCTGCCAGGCTCTGGCACCACCACTGTTAATTAAGAGTTATGATACTGTAGGGCATGGCAATCTGCTTTTAAGCCCTTCTGAAAATGCCACCAGCCTGCTGAGAAGCAGAAGAGGTTAAATGGCTGATTAACCTCCTTGTCTCTGGGGGGAGCACAGGGCAGAGACCATTCCTTTGACATTTGGCACAACATCATTCTGCTTGTGGAATAAAGATAATTTAGGCGCATGGCTGTGGGCCACGCTCTGCCACATACCCATAAGCAGAGAACAACATGTTCTATTTACAAGTACAGATACAGTCTGAAAGTCTGTTTGTTGGTATGCTTCAAAATTTTCAGGCTATCATCTACTAGTTCTGGTGAAAGAGCTACAACTCTGGCTAAAGGCATCCTCTGTCAAAAGGCAAAGGGTCAGCTCTCAAGGAGAAAACCTCAAATCCAGTCCCAACACTGCTTTGCCAATGTGCCTTTGTGACTGACTGAAGCAATTTAGGTACCTGGCTTTTCCAATGCAGTTACCAGCTAGGATAGAACCTCCTGCTAATGGTAGCCAAAACACAAAGTTATTTTTACAACTATGACAATTAATAGGGTACAATAACAATGTAATAATTTCTCTTCATCTCTACCACAGAAGGTAACACTTTGCCCCATCATTATGATAACTGTTGCTTTTAAAGATGTATCCTACTGTATGCTTACACAAAGTATCCTAAAACTTCAAACGAGATGGAAATAGTTGCATATACATAACATTTTCTAGTGGAGATTTTATTTAACAGTCTTCAAATTTACCAAGAGTTTGAGTCAAAATGGAAAGGGAAAAACACAAAGTTAGAAAGCAGACATACTGCTAACTATTCAAAATTAATTCCATTCACAGTTTTCCATTATGGCAGAGTGTAGGTGCTTCTCCTTCGATGGCATCATGTACAAAGGAAATGGACTGACAGGCTGAGGGAGCTGGGGTTGTTCAGCATGGAGGAGAGAAGGCTCCAGGGAAATACCATTACTTTGGCTCTGTACTGTTGGTGTGCTTATGGTAAATCTTGCTGTTTGTGTTAGGCAGCCAGTACTGAAGTTGTTCTAGAGTTTTTTGCAAAGCAAACCAAAAGGACCAAAGAAGCAGCTGAAAAAACAGTAAAAATGGGAAAATTCTGTAGCACAAAATACAGAGAAAAGTGCTAACATATAAAAGGTACATATTTTGCTACTTTGTAGTTATCCAAGTGCTATTCTAATTTATAGACTCTCAGATTTCCTGCAAAAATAAGAGTTGAGAACTGTTGCTTCACATTCACTGCCTCATGACCTGGGACAGATGGTGCAGAGGTGAGAAGAAGAAGACTTCATCTGGGATTGTCTCTCACTTTTCAGACCTCCAGCCTGGACAGAAACACCTGCAAAAACACACAAGGGCAGGAGCTGGTTTGTCCTGTGCCTTGCCTTGGCCACCAGAAGTGCTGGGCTGTGGGAATTGCCCTTATCATGCTGGTGCTGCTGCCCCTGCAGCTCCCACTGCCCCAGCCCTCCTGCAGATGCACCTGGCCATGGTCAGGTCATGGCAGGACTTTGAGAGAGTGGATTGCTCTCTCATGACTTGATGGCTGATCAGTTATCCTCAGGTTTAGTGAGCCCCTCATTCCTATGTACAACTTGTACTGTAGGTGTTGTGTTTTTGTGTAGCATAGGTGCAACAGGCAGGAAAAGGGTAGGACTAGAAACTAAAATAACATTGTAAGTTTATGATTATGCATAAATAGAAAAACATTTCTTTTCAAGGCAAAAATCACGCAGGAAGGAAGGCCTGCTTCAATGTTCAAGACATGTTTGTTTTAAAGCACCAGAGGAATTTATTGAGTCAGCTCTGCTAAAGCATCAAAAAAATCACTGCAAAACATTAAATTATGCATCTGGGGGATACCATTCTCTTACTGTGTGTAATACCAGCATCATCTTTACAGAGGGAAATCTGACACTGTGATTTTTCTTCTGAACATATGGGCAGAACCACTTTAATGTAGTTCTTTTTCAGAGTTAGAATTTAGATTAGATTAGTTACTGACTTAGAAGTATTCTAGCAAATTTGATAAGAGCATGATGTGGAGTCTGAAATATCAGGTAGACAGACTACAAACAGCTTTGAAGCTGGACACAGTGTAAGGGAACTTGCTTTCACAAATTGGTCCCACTCCATCCACTCATTTATTTAATTCTAATTTTTCTCCTATAGTTCTATATTAATTAATGTGGCCAGAGTTCTGATGGTAAAAAATATACTTTTCACTTCCAGCATAGTTGTATTTATAGCCTGTGTCAACTTGTTTTCTCTTATCCTGAATAGTTTTTTGTCTCACTCAAGCATGTTTTAGACAATAATCTGTTTCCCTGCAGCTTTGACTAAAATTGCCACAGATTTATTTATATTAAACTGGACAGTGTATAAAAGATCTAAAGCTAACTTGCCTTGTTCTGATTTGTTTTAAAGCACACCAAGTAGTTTTTGCTATTTTAATTTACATCTGACTTTAGGAAGCTGAGTCTATGAGTTTATGATTGAAAATGAGTTTATAGTTGAAGATGATCTGCAATTCTTAGAGAAGCTTTGTAGATGTTTCTTTGATGTTTCAGCATGTGGAGCCCTTATGGAGCCCAAAAAAACATTTAGCAAAGGTCAGCAAACCCAAAAGGATGGGGTGGGGGTCGGGAAGCAAGAGCTCTGATGGATTCAAGGCATCAGTAGAGTCGTTAGTAGGTTGCTGCAATACATTACACTCCTAGAAATCTAGTGCTTTCTTCAGGATAAAGACTATTAGGCTTGCAATAGATACAAAGTGCTCATCTGTCAGTAGACAAGAATAGAAGTGCTGTCATGAACATGTCAGGTAGTTTCCTGTATTGCAAAAGAGAGCCTTCTCTGAAAACGACTGATAATACAGCTTGAGCAATCACAGCTATTTTTCCATTTCCATGATCTCATGCAGATGCCACAAGCCTGCTCAGGAACAGGTTTAAGGAGTAGTCAGAACAATGAAAAGAGCAGCTGCTCATGGTGCTGGTCGCCTGCTGCAGTTCTAACAGAGATTGATGCTGATGATGTACATGGATAAATGGATAAATTCAGGCACAGACCCTTAAAGAAGATCACTGGGAAGAGCCAGGAGGAGTGTGCCTGCTGACCAGAGCAGATGAAATGCAGCTCCAGTAGCTGTAGGCAAAGCTCTAAAAAGAACTGGATTGATCCAGGTATGCTGGGTGCCTAACCCAGTCTTCATTTTTGCCATGTACTATTTATGTGCTTTATTTAGTGGATGTCTAACTTCAAGCTTCTCTCTGGCTGCTGTTTAGCAGAAATAAAAATTCACTTAAAAGTGGCAGCAGACAGAAAGGGCAAACTGACCCAGCCATGCTCTTTACAGCATTAACTCATACATTTGAGTGGAATCAGGAATAAAACTTAGGGCAGTATTCAGTTGTTTAAACACAGGTCTCTGGTGCTGTTAGAGATGTCCCAGGGTAAACTGCCTGTCAGACATCAGTGATCTCCTGTGGGCCTGCACCCATCAACCCGATGTGAATGTTTCACATACCTGAGAGCATCATCAGTGGATACTAGAGGTGGGCTACACAAACACGCCAGAGTTTTTCCACTCATTTTCTTCTTCTTCACATATATTTAATTATGTTCAAAAAATGTATTGGAGAAAAATGAGCTTTTAAAAAGAATGGCATAAACTAGTTCCATGTGCATCAACCTGAGCTTTCCTTTCTATCAAACAAGTGAGCACCAGCAGCCTCTCTGCCTGATTTCCAGTGAGTTACAGTTCCTGTCTTCCTGAATTTGGTTCCTCCCATTGCAGTCCAG